GACAATAGTTTTGAAATAACACCTAAAAATATAAAATTATTCTTAAAACAAAGAAATTATACAAACTGGATATTTTACTATCAATTCTTAAACAAAATATTCAATATTGATTTTGAATTAAATTTTGAAGATAAAAGAAATATTACAGTAATTTTTAATGCATATTTCAGTTTTACAAAAAAAAATATATCATTTAAGAAACTATTACCAATGATTTTTAAACTTTTAGATATGGATTTTTATATAAAACCAGATTTTGATGATAATTTTTTAAAATTCTTAAAACATTTATCAACTTTAAATGATCCATGCATAATATATCAACATAATGGTTTTTCTGATAACATAAGTGATACATCAGATATTATTTAAAAATAAAATATTCATCTATCACACAACAGTTCTAACAAACTGTTGTGTGATATTTAAAATTCTTTTCATTTATTTCAATTATTAACTGTTTAAAATTTTTATAATTATTTTTGTAATAAATGGATCTACTAGAAGAGATTAATAATATAGGAGAATGTAAATTCAAAGAATATAAACCAATAAAAAGTTTAGAATTGAATACAAAATATAAAATAGAAAAATTTGATAAAGTTAAAGATAAATATGGACCAACAGTTATTGTTGAATTAGAAAAATGTAAAGTTCATTTGCCTCATAGATTTATTAATATATTTGATGAAAAAACAATTAAAGAATTAAATAAAAAAGATTTAAACTTAATTATTACTGAAATTAAAACATTCAAAGATAAAGAAACTGTTTTAGTTAAATTTGTATAAAAACTACTCATTAAATTTTAAAATTTTACTTGTTTTTAAAAACATTTTGTTTTGTACTCAATTTTACGGAAAATATAGACATATTCATGAAAATTTCATCAAAATTATATACTTTTTCTAGAAAAATATGAAAATGTTAGAAATTGGCCTAAAAGAGGCAAAAATTTAACATATTAGTATTGAAAAACAACAAATTTCATTAAATTATTAAAGTCTTCCTTTTTTGGTCTAGGATTGGTACATTACTATCTACTTCTATATATATATCTATATATATATATATATATATACATATATAAAAATTTGAACGAATGGTGTTTTTGGCCTCTGGGGACATCAAAATGAAAAAGTAAATCGGTCCCGGGCCTAAGTCTTACCATGAGACCTACGGTAATAGCTACTTCCCTATAGGGAAATTCGCTAAAAAGGCCATAATTTAGGGCCATAAAAAGGCCATAAGAGTTTGAACTGACACTGTACCTCGTACTTCTTGTCGTCTTCAGTCACTCCTCAGCATACTTGGGAATAACGAATAGAAATTCTATCGAATAGAAATAGCTATATACTATAGCTATATACTAAGCTTTATTATAGCTATATTCATTAGTTTTTTTGGCTAACTTCTATTTTATTCGTTTCTTTTTAAATTAACTAACTAATAACTTCTATCAGTTACTTTTTACGGGACTAACTAATAACTAACTAATAACTTTAGTTAGAATTTTCAACTAACTTCCCAATTATGCGGAAGCATCTCAAATACTGGTTATTTATTTCACGTGTCAGTTTGGGTTGCGTGCGGCCGTGAGAGGTCAGTGCCCTTGTAGACAAACAACGCGGGGGGTGGGGAAAGAGAAAGTCAAAGTCCAGTTGCTTTGGAATGCAGTGGGCCTGTGGAAGGGTAGTGACGGCCATTATCAACACCCCAAGCACTGATGGGTGGGAAGGGGAAATGTTTGTTTGGTGATTGATATATCATCTCAAGTGTCAAAACATTGTCTTTAGTTGATGTTCATTATCTGACAAGTTTTATGTCATTTGTTTATGTTGTAGTAATGTAAAATGTGAGGTGTTTGATTTGTTCAAGAGATAAAAAATAGAGCTTATAAGCCTACAAATATTTTCAGTCTTACTACGATTAATTAAGTAGTAAAGTCAATTCATTTTTGTTAGACATCCACTTATCCTCAATTTAGTCTACAAAACTTTTTAATTTGGACGATCAATCTATAAAATGTCCACAATAAGCTTCAATCAATATAAAACTCATGATCCATAACATCTGTTATCTGACAACCGTTATTGCATTAAGTCACTGGGTTCGTGGAACGTTGCAACTATAATTACGGGATGGTGTAATAACGCATCAACTCGTGCGGTGCATCGTCGAAAAATACAAATCTCCTTGGCCTTTCCTTTAGATTTTTAGTTCAATGTCAGTGTATATTGTTTTGCACTACAACACTTAATGTTTTTGAACAGTCGTAATTATCCCTTTGGTTAGTAAGAAATCATACAATGCCAATGTATTATACAAGCAATTTTCAATAGCATTGAAATTGGAGGAAATCGTAGGAGCCATTTTTTAAATCATATCTTGCGCAATCTTTACTCATATTATAGTATATATTAGTAACCAAGATGTGACATTAAAAAATACTTTAAAACAACTGCCCAACGAACAACTAATTTCTACTAAAACTAACTTTATTTTCTATCAGTTAGTTTTTCAACTAACTAATAACTTCTAACTAGTTAGAATTTTTGACTAACTTTCCCAACTATGCTCCTCCTCAGTTCCCTATCCATAGAATAGTAATTTTTGAGAAAGCTCCTTTGTATATGGGTAGGAAGCTATTCAACCACCTCCCTAACCAAATCAAATTTACAGAAAAGATGGATATTTAAAAAAAAACTACTTAGGGAACATTTGGAACTACTTTGTCCTTATTCAGTTGATGATTTTTTTTTGTAACTAACGTCACTCTTTTTGTTGTATTTTAAACTTCTGACCTTATTTTTTAATATATTACTAACTACAATGAAATAAAATATATAATATCATGTATTTTGTTGTGAAAAACTGACGTGTCATATGTTTACTGATGATGTATCACAATTATGTAAATTCTATGTGACAAATAAACATTTCATTTCATTTCATTTCATTATAGGGCCCAGGTATCTTCATTAATGACTCATACTACTCCATTTCACCACATATTAGTAGCAGAGCATGGTTACGATCCACGGAACTCTGGGTTATGGGCCTAGCATGCTTCCACTGTAAATCGCCACAGCATTTTTTAAGTAAACAGTTTCGAATAAAAACTATATACAATTCCAGGACAAAACTTACAAAAAATACCTGGCTCGATACCTGTTTGAACACAACGGGTAAAGAAAAAGTGGCAAAATACGATATTGTCCGGTCTAAGCAAGGCACCCATCTCGAAACTTGTTTTTTTTAGCTACTGCTTCCTAGAGAGTGTCTGCATCTTGGAAGTGACGTCTTGTTTTCTACCAGTCTTGGAGGGAGTAGAGGGGGGAGTGAGAGCCAGCTGAGAGGGGGGTGGATCATAACTCCTCCTCCTCCAAGGTCACCTGTAGCAGCTGCCTCAGCACCTACACTGGGCTTGTTGTGGTTGTGTTTCTTCATACGGGGAGCACCAGAACCCACATTTGAGTTGGAGCCGTTTTGCCGTTTGTAGTTGACATTTCTCTTGACTGAGGGATCGATGGGCCTCCAACCCTCCCTCATTCAAGAGAAATGTCATCTACAAACGGCATCTTAGTTGGGTACATTATCGACAGAGTATTGTGAATAAATTTTACCTACAGTATCATATAACATATCTTTACTACTACTCATCAAAGTCGTCATGATATTGCAATGGATTTAAACATGATAGCCCAAACTTGTTTGAATAAACGTAGGTATACAGGTTTGTACCAAATTTCATCAAAATCTGATCATTTTTGCTCGAGTTATCATGCTAACGGACACACACACACATATATATATACATATATAAAATGCATTTGAACGCATGGTGTTTTTGGCCTCTAGGGACCTCAAAACAACTCTATAGGAAATTTGCTAAAACAACGTTGTTTAATTATTGAACTGTTTTGTCATTGCTAATTATTAATACTGATGTTACATAAGAATAAAAAATTACATATATAATAAAATGAGACCCTTGCATACAACAGCAAATGCACATTATTCATTCAAGTACAATTCACAACAGTCTGTACAGTGTACCATGTACTAAATGAACTACAGAATGTTAAACATGTTCTATATAAAGCGGCAAATTCAAATACAAGAACCATAATATACGTAAATTGTTTCCATTGTTGCAGCGCGTAAAAAAGCCAGAGTCCTGTGAAATAAATTTACTGTACTATCTATATTAAGCACTATAGGCAACAAACCGTTACTAGCTATAAATCATTTTAGAGCTTAAATTATGTACTACAACTTATACATGAAACATTTTGTCGTGTGACCTCATATAAAAGATCTACAAGGTTAAAAGATTCATAAAATTAATTCCTAAAAATTCATTTTTTATGTTTACATAATTTTTGTGACGAAACTATCAATTTTAGGCTAACATGGTAAATACAATTTTTGTGGAAAATCTTATCGCAAAAAGGATTAACAAAAGATTGAATTGTTATACTAAACGTTTTTAAGTTTCTAAGAGATTATAAATTTATCTAAAAAAAGGGGATGAGGGGAAAGCATAAGGGAGAGGAGTGGGGACTTTTGGGAAAACACTCATCTCAACATGGTCTAACAGCGTAGAAAAATCCAGCTTTCCCAAAATTACTTCCGACATCTGCCTTATTTATATCTTTATTGACTGGGCTAATAGTAAAAATTAAAACACCCAACACACCAGATATACTCTTTAGTACAATATTATTTATCTACCTCCAAAACTTCCTCCAACCAGTCACCACAACACAAAATTTCTAATAACTAGGCCTATATCCTCTTTCTACAAACTCCTTTATAAATTAGTCTTTTTGTACACTGTGCTTTAATTGAGCAAATTCTTAGATTAGTGAATTTTAAATTGAATCGATTTAAATTCAATTAGTTTACTATATAGATTACGATTGTAACAGTCACATATATTGTTTGAATTAAGACAACAATTTTACAAGAACATTTATAAAATTTATTTCAGTTACCTGAGAGGGCTACACAGAATATGATGGCAGTGACTCCTTCAAAACAATGGATCCATTTTTTTCTCTCTGATCGTTGACCTCCTACATCGAACATTCTGGAAAAAATTGTTTAGTTTTGTGAGTTTAAACTATATCAAATGAAAGCAAAAAATAAGAATTTTACAACTGGATGGCAACAAAAATATAAGTATGCGGTATTCAGAATCTTTTATATGAAGCTGTGAAAGTAAGTTTCAACAATGGGCTGCAAAGTATTTTAATTTTCAATATATTTAGAATATATAAGGGTAAAATTTTAGTGCATTTCCTATTTGTACCCATAGTAGGCCATATGCCGTGAGCTTAAGAAAAAGAAGAACCAAAGTTGGTGAACCTTCTTAGAAAAGATTCAAAAATGTAGGCAAAACAATTTTTTTTTTCAAAACTAAAAAATATATATGTAAATTTAGGCTTCAAGTTATTAAATCAGTTTGAAATTTAAAGTTTAAATGTAAATAGGTGGCCACCTTGAAACAAAGTCTCTTAACAAATAATTTAACTTTCTATTGTCTCGCGTAATTGTCTTTTAAGAAAACTAAAATCCCAGGGGACGTCTGACTATCTTAAACTAGCCTACTTTGGTTTGTTTCATTGCCATTTGAGCTATGGCTTGGTCCTATGGAGCCATGCTCCGAACACTACTAGAGCTCTGATTATGCAGAAGACTGCTGTAAGAATTTTATCTTCGAGTTTCGAGTGGTAGACGATATCATGCCAGACCACTTTTTGAACAGCTCGGCATTCTCACGATACATAGCCAATACATACTGGACTGCCTCCTTCTTTTGAAAGCTGACCCTAGGCTCCCTCATATTACACGAAACCAACTCCACAATTACAACCTGCGCTCTGCAAGGAATGTTGATGTCCCGAGGTGTAGGCTCTCCAAGACCAAAGACTGCTTTCCAGTATTAGCACACAAGCTCTATAATATACTCACTGCCCCTCAATATTAAAGAACTACTTCTTGAACCTTTTAAAGTCAAACTAAAACAATGGCTGAGTAGAAAGTGTTTCTATTCTATCTGGAACGTTTGGGGTGTAATGATTGAAATAAAATCACCATTTGGGGAATTAAATAAAACCCGGCCGACTACATGGTTATGGTTTGCTGGAATCTTGAGGACTGGAGAGTAAGGGAACTTTTGGATCGGCGGTTAAACGTGGAGGGAAAAGTGGCGTGATGGGTTGTAGCCAATCCAGGAGCTTTATTGAAATCGTACGATATGACGTCACAGTCGCCTGATCGTAGTCAGGACACAAATGCAAAACATATTGCCAACTCTTTATAACACAAATCTAAATATCGTAAAAATGGCAACATTATGGTATATTATTGTATACACTACATTTCCTCCCCTTTAAGTTTAGAATTATTTTTTCTTAAAATACGCCATTTTTATCAACACATCAAACCAATTGAATAATCATTAAATAACCTAAAACAAAAACACTTTTTATGAAACAATATTGTATGATTCAATCAAATAATACAAAACAATAAACATTAAAACAAGCAACCTTGATAAAATTGGAAACAAAACGCAGAAATAAATATTTATAAATTCAACCTTTCAGGAGGTTTTATTTCTCTGGCAGATCGCCTCAATTGCAGGCAGATTGTTTGGGTCGATCAGCTGATCGTACAGGTGATGGAAAGGTTACGTCCGGTGGAGTAAGTCTTTACTGTTTTTACAGAATTTTCCGCCTGGCCATTACTAGCGGGAAAATAAGGTGGTGTAAGCGTATGCCTAACCCCATTAGCTTTAAGAAACTTGCTAAATTCACAGGATGTGAAAGGAGGGCCATTGTCTGTGACACACTGTTCCGGAATTCCAAACCTTGCAAACATAGGTCTCAATTTATTTATGACTACTTTGGCAGATGTGGAACTGACCTCCTCTACTTCTATCCATTTACTATAAGCATCAACTACAACCATATACAACTTTGAATTAAAAGGGGCTAAAAAATCTATGTGTAACCGTTGCCACGCTGACTTTGGGTATTCCCATACATGTAAATATGGCCTTGACGGGTTTTGACGTTCCATGAGACATAGCGAGCAACTATTGGCAAGTTCTTCTATGTCTTTATCTATTGAAGGCCAATATAGATAAGAACGGGCTAGAGCCTTCATTTTGACTATCCCTAAATGTCCACAATGCTGTTCTTGTAAAAGTCCCATTTTATACATTTTTGGAATGACAACCCGATAACCCCACATTAATATGCCATGCTCAATAGTTAGTTCGCTCCGCCTTATGAAATAAGGTCGTACTCTTAATTTGCCTCATTAGGCCAGCCGTACAAGACATAGCCAAATACCTTACTTAACTCAGTTTTTTTTGTGTTTACCTCTTAATATCAACAAAATTAATTGGAATAACTCCCTCCACAAAAAATTGCAAATAGGTTCCTACATAAGGATTTTCCTCATACAGTTCGTTAACATGTTTAGCTTGCAAAGGTAAGCGAGATAAACAATCTGCAGAAACATTTCCCTGAGAGGAAACATACTGTATGTTAAAATCATAGCTGGCTAAAAATAAAGCATACCTCTGTAATCTGCTAGCGGCAAAAGCCGGAAGTCCCTTTTTAGGGCCAAAAATTGACAACAATGGTTTGTGGTCTGTTACTAGTGTGAATTTTTTACCAAACAAATACTGACATCTTTTAACAGCAAACACAATAGCTAAAGCTTCTTTGTCTATTACAGAGTAGTTTGATTCGGCTTTAGACAATGTCCTTGACGCAAAACAAATAGGTTTTTCCGATCCATCTGATTGCGTTTGACTTAACACACTTCCAACCCCGTAGGCTGAACTATCAGTAGCTAACCTCAAAGGTAAATTTGGGTCATAATGCGCCAAAATAGGAGCTGAAACTACATTACTCTTAATTAATTGAAACGCTTTGTCACACGATAAATTCCATTCAAATGGAGTGTCCTTTCTGAGTAAATGATACAGTGGGGATACAATGGTAGACATACTTGGCACAAATTTAGAATAATAATTAACCAAACCTAGAAAAGCTTTTAACTGAGTTACATTGGTAGGCACTGGGGCGTTTACAATAGCTTCAATTTTACTAGGAGATATGTCTAGTTCTTGTTTACTTAAAATGTACCCTAAATACTCAACATATTTACAGAAAAACTGACATTTATTTTGACTTACTGTTAAACCATGATTCTTTAAAGTTTCACACACTTGAATCAACCTCTCTAGGTGCTGTTTGTCATCAGTTCCTGTTACCAAAATATCGTCTAGGAAGCAAACGCCGGGAATGTGAGCTAAAATGCGTTCCATTATACTCTGAAATATTCCCGGGGCGGATGCTACACCATATGGAACGCGATTGTAAATATACAATCCTTTAGATGTACTTATTGTACAATACTTCTTTGATTCCTCGTCTAACCTTACCTGAGTGTGCCTGAGATCGATTTTTGAAAACGTCTCCCCTTTTTGTAAATTATTAAAAATGTCCTCAATCCTTGGAATTGGGTGGCGATTGACTACTAAATAGGGGTTGAGCGTTACTTTAAAATCGCCACATATTCTTATACTTCCGTCCTTTTTCAAAATAGGCACAATTGGAGTTCCCCATTCACTGTTGCTAACTTGAGTTAAAATCCCATTATTTACTAACCGATCAATCTCAGACTCCACTTTACTTTTGATCGAAAATGGTATAGGTCTGGGTTTGAAAAACTCAGGCAAACAAACACGGCACAACAGGAACAGTTCCATCTAGGAATGCCAGAGCGCATTTTAGTGGCGGGACGGAAATTTTCTGTCCAAGTATGCCAGTGGGTTGGTAAAAATTGAGATTTGAGTGAACTCTGTATTGTTATTGCATTCGTATTGTTAACCCTTTTAGTGCTACAGCGTCGCTGCCAGCGACGATGTATTTTTACACTAAAGTGCGAGCGTCGCTCACAGCGACTATTCGTATTTCGTATAGTACGCATTGTTGCCATGGATGCATTGGCTGGTTAATGCGTCAGTATGTTCCAAAAGCTTCAAATTATCGATCGCCGGTTCATTTCGCTCTTTTACTGTTGCTAGCGGTCAGCTGTTTACATTTCAATTCTTTGTTTCTTTGTGCGCAGTGACGCTTTGATTGACGACGGATAACATTACGTTTTGCGCTGTTTGTTTTGAAACAAAGTTATTTACTTATTTGTGTATAAAGTTTTGTTTTCTAGTTAGTTTGTGCTCTTTTTTTAGTTTTGTATATTTAGATTTTGTGTAGTTTTGCGAGTTAGGCCTATTTATAAAACGAGTTGTTGTAAAGTGGATCATGAAACAATGGATCGTGATAACTTTGCCGGGGGCGAGGAAAGGCTTCGTGCCTTGATCAGTGATATCTCTTCAAATGACACTGGGACACTAACAATTGACCAGTTTTAGTGACCAACTGACACAGAATATTTCCGATTTTGAAGAGGAGGATGACGACGTACCTACGACAGATGAAGACGAACCTGATTCGCCAAGTGAACCTGACGATACTGACAAAGACATGGATTACATACCATCTTCTGAGGACGACAGTGCAGACGAATCTATCGACAGTGGGCCTACACAAGAATTTGTGTCGTCAGCGCCCAAAAAGCGAAAACCATCCAGGTTAGAGCAAATTATTTCCAAGCGTAGACGAAATCCTCACCATTCTCCTCCTATAAGTCCTATTAGGAATGTTCAATCCACCACTTTTGAGGAGGAGATGGTAGATGAACCTGACGAAATATTGAACCCGACCGCATATCCAGACCCTATTGCCATGGTAGGCCTAGATGAACCTAACCAAATTGTGAACCCGCCCATACAGCCAGACCCTATTGCCATGGTAGGCCTAGATGAACCTAACCAAATAGTGAACCCGCCCATACAGCTAGACCCTATTGCACATGAAAACCCAATTCCAGGTAATGTACCGGATGGAGACATTTGGGAAGAAATTGGACCTGATGTTGATTTCCCACTTCGTCCAGTAACATACCATGAACTTCCAGGACCAAAGCATATGCCACCACCAGATTCCCCCCCAGTTTCATATTTCAATTTGTTTTTCACAACTTTGCTTCTAAACAGCATTGTTAGAGAAACAAATAGATATGCATCACAATGTTTGGAGCGTTCTGAGTTCAGTGATAACTCTAGAACCAAGAAGTGGTTACCGACTTGCGTTCCAGAGATCAAAGGTTTTATTGCTTGCATTTTCAATATGGGCATAATTAGAAAGCCAACAATATACTCCTACTGGTCCACTATCCCCGGAATGGCTACACCGTGGTTTCCACAAATGTTTACAAGAGATAGGTTTCAACTGTTGTTACGGTTTTTCCATCTGGTGAACAACGATGTCATTGCCCGAAGAAGACCTGATCCATGTGCAAAGTTCCAGCCTCTTGTAGACCACGCAAACGTCTTATTTCGCCACTATTATACTCCACATGAGCAGCTTTCGGTTGACGAGTCTCTCATCGGAACTAAGTCACATACAGTATTACAACAGTACTTACCTAAAAAACAACATCACAGATGGGGAGTGAAGGTGTGGATGTTGTGTGACTCCGTAACAAATTATGTGTTGGGTTTTTTTGTATATAAAGGTGCACGTGTCCCATCTGAAGAAAAACAGGAGCAAAAGGAATTCGGCCAAGGATTTGTTGTAGTAAAAAAACTTCTCACCTTAGGTAATTACCTAAATAAAGGGTTTCATGTCTTTACAGATAACTTTTTTGCTTCCATCCCCCTTGCATCTCGATTGTATGAGCTTGGAACATACTACACCGCAACCATTCGATCCAATCGTAAGGGCCTACCTGACGCAGTAAAATCAAAATTTGGTGTTGGTGTTACGAGATTTTTCAAAAAAGGGTTTCTTCTTTTGTGTGGGTTTAGAGATAAAAAAACTAAAAAAAAAAAACAGGTATTGTTGATTTCCACTGCATCTCAGGCAACAACCAGTGAAGTCAGGCGTAGAGTTAGGAGGCAGGTAGGGGAAGAAGTTGTCAACAAGCCAGATGTCATTTTGGAATACAATAAATATATGGGGGGAATAGATATCTCTGACATGATGGTGTATGCATATATGGATGAGCATAGGACTGTTAAAGTTTGGAAGAAAGTAGTTTTTAGTCTATTCTTGCGCATGATTTTGAACGCATATATATTATACAAGGAAAATGTCAAACAGAACAACGTAAATCCTATGACCCGTATCAAATTCATACAGTCATTGGTACACGACCTTGGTAAGGAATGGATCCTTACCAAACAACAAACCCTACCTGCTCAACCACAACCTCAAGGTGGACCTGCTAACCTTTTTGGGGTAAAAAAGTTACCAGGAAGAAAATTGCGGATCTGCAAGGTATGCAGCACTGAGAATAGCAAACACCGATCAGCATTTGTGTGTGTGCGCTGTGACAAAGGACTAGGCCTACATCCAGAGTGCATCCAGCACCATAGGTGTTGATAAACATAAAAGACTAATGAACTAAGTGAAGACTTGTAAATATGTAAATACATTTTTAGTTGCATAGGATAAAACAACTTTTAGACATGGATAATTTGACCGTCCGTTACCATGGAAACTGAAATGACCTGGCCTACTCAAAATGGTAAGATTTTTTCTTCTAATATTTAGTTGTTTTTTTAGTTTATTAGCCTGTCTTTGCTAAGTTGTCAATCACAATACCCCCCTTAGCAATGAATTATATCTGTATTTGTACCAATATGTAATTATGTAAATATGTGCCAATTACCACTTTGTGTTTTTTTTTAGAAAAAAAAAGTTTAGACACATAGGGTGACAATTTTTTCACCAAAATATTCATGAAATAATGCTTTTTGTAATAAAAGCAAAATAAAAATATTGGTACATTATCTAACTAGTTTTATTTCATGTAAAACTTAGAAAATAAAATGTCGGTAAATCAAATTTATCATTTCATCATAGATCTTTTCATGGCAATACACCTATATCACTAACAAAATTACTAAAATCCTTTACCAAATTTAGTTATGTGATAAATAAAGTCACATTATTCAACTATATTGACAAATGGGGTAGTTATAAAACATTTTGATGATGCTTCGGGTTTTCCGTAAAATGTCATGACATTTGTTTTATGTTCTAAAAAACATTGTATGATGTGTAAATGCATAATTTTTTTATCAAAATGATCACAATAGTATTCTTTTTACAGTGGTAAAACATATGACCATTTAAAAAAAAATCCTACAGAACTTATTTCATTTCAAACTATTTTTTTTTTTTTTGTAAAATGAGATTTTATTATTTTGTAAAATACATTTTTTTGGTGAACCTAAAATGTAACAGATGAAGCAATATTGTTTAGTGCATTCATTTTTGTAAAAAAACAAAAAAAAACTGTTAAAAAATATAAATAAATAAGGGAGATAAGAGTTTTTTTCTAAAAGCTTGCTTATTTGGTCAAAATCCTCTAGCACTTTCCATCATGTCACTGTCAGCGACGCTGTAGCACTAAAAGGGTTAACTTGGATGGCTTTCGATTTGTTTTCCACATTAACTATTATCAGCATGTTTACATAAAAATAGTGTTTATTTTTAATGGGACATTTATGTCTGATCAAACTTGTGAAGGGGAAATGGTGATTATACAGAGCTCGTGTTTAAGTTGCTACAGTAGTTATCTCTTATTGGAGTTAGATGTATACATCCAAAAGTGCCTTAACTTCCTACAACAAATTCATCATAATATTTATCAATACACTTACTTGAAATGGAGACCTTTAAAAGTGAAGTGGGTTTCAATAATTCCTGTGGTTTTCACTCTTGTTCGTAACACATCTTGTTGGGTTGGAATGTAGTTGGGCTGTGCGATTCTGTCCAAGGCATTCAGATAGTAGGCAGCAGAGTCATTGAGTTGATATTCTCTGGAGCGAGAGAAGCAAAGTTCCACTCCAGGGTCTTGCCAGAGCTTCTTCATCAGCATGACCAGCTCTGGAGTCAGTTCCCCCTCCTCAGCAGCACTTGCGAGGGTAAAAAACTGGCGTGCAGCATCCTGCACAACATTTACCTTATAAAATTCTTACTGATAAATAAATAAAGACTTAAAGTGCGCGACTAGTGGAAGGAGATGAGGGAAATTAACAAACTTTAAAATTGAGTACTTAAACTAGAGGTGTGCAAGGCGAGCGTGAGACTTTTTTAGGAAAGAAACTAGAGCCTAGAATGCCATTATGACTTTAATCCATGATCGCACTATCATAATCAACTTTGTAACGAAAGCACAGACATTCTGGTTATTTTCTGATGACATCATCAGCCTGTGATATTGGCAACATCTCCATTTCCTCCCTTGATAATAGTGACATTGTAAATATCTCCTGCAGTCGCAGCTAAATCATCAATGTCTCGGGAGACATGGTGAATTTTCATCCGTACAACCTTTGAAGACGCTATCTGCGATCAAGAGAATAAAAATTCGACTAAGCTCCATTTTCTGACTGATGCTCTTCCGAGTTTCTGAGTGATTGCTCTTGGTCACTAAATCTTTTAGAGTTGGCTCAGGTGGAAAATAATGCCGCTTGCACAACCCCTATAAGCGTATTCCCACAGTTTAAAAATAAAATTGTCATGGGAAAATTATTTACATTACACTAAATGCAATGGCGCTAATGAACTGAACAATACAGACAGCCAGTAACATAAAAGTTATTATTACATCAATATCTCAGGCAGCCTTATTACTGAAAGGTTGGAAGCTGATTGCTCTAAAAGTTGTTATCAAAGCAAAAACAAAATACCCCGCCGCAGCAAACCTGCAGACTAAGCGAATTTCCATTTGCCTAATTGGATTTACCTAACTAAAATGTCTCCTTAAAAACATCACATTTATTCCCTATTTAAATAACATTAGTTTAACGAGTACTTAGGTTTGCTGCAACAGGGAGGGTAAAAAGGGGTTTGTTTTTTGTAAAATGTTACAGTTTAGTATGAAATGAATGCATTTTCCAAATTTGATCAAAATATGTTCATAAACAAGCAAACAACAACAGTTAACTTATTCTCAATAAGAATAACATGGGAATTTTAGAATTACAGATTTTTGGAATTTTCTCCGCAACCATTTGGCGCATAATAACGCTTCAATATACTAAATTATTTGCTTTTTTAAGCTCTACAAAATGGTTTGAAAAGTAATTGCTAAATTTGAAGTTTTTAGGGTCAAAAAATGGAAAACCCAATTTTTACCCCATAAAACCCGTCATATAGGTACACCTGTTCTAATAGTCCGATCATGCTGGTTCGCAAACTCGTTCGAATAGACGTATGTTTTACGTTTATACCAAGTTTCATCAAAATCGGATGATTTTTGCTCGAGTTATCGCGCTAACGGACATATATATATATATATGAATTTAAACTGATGGTGTTACCCTGATGGTGTTATCCTTGGGGAGCACAGAAGGAGCCTCCCCGAAGATTGTGACCATTACACGCTATGAACGACATCACAATCGGGCGCACCCCGGGCAACGCTGACATGTCAGCGGCAAATCCTTATACAACCGGACGACTTCGAAAAATGAATCTGCCTTAACGGTCTTTTTCAAGACCATTGGTTACAACGTCGCGGACCTGTTTCCTTCCCTTTCAATAACATTTAAGGATTGCAGACCTCAAGCTAGTGTCGTCATTTGATTATATTTATGATCCATACCGTTTCTGTTCTAATATCTGTGGAATAATGCTATCAGCTGTTTCTTTATCTACTACATTCAAAAGTCAACAGCTGATCATATTTCTTTGTTTATGTGTCAAATACTGCTTCCATAAGGATTACATTGAAACTTTGAGACCTAGTGGGGTGGATTTAACACCATATAGATGTTGGCACTCACCGATATGGTCTTTATCACCATGCAAAATTTGAAAACAATTGATTCAGCCGTCTAGGAGGAGTTTGCGTATTACGAAATGCATAAGAGTCGACGTATAAGAGCCTCGCTCGCTCCGCTCAACAAAGAATAAAATTCATAGAATAATAAAAAATTTAAAAAAAACAAGAGTTATAAGAAGGGTTCAAAAATAGGCCCATATGGTCGTCGAAGAATAACTCTACATTAATCTACTTGACAAAAGCTTTTGACTGCATTTCCCCACCAGATCTTGACCAGCAAGATAGAAAAGTATAGTGTTCAAAGGACTGAGCTTAAATTAATAGCAAAATATCTTCAAAACAGATAATATTATAAAAAACGATATATCAGAGACAAAAGTTAACAGATATCAACACTGGCCATATTAATGTTTTCGTGACCATGTGAGGTATCAAGATTTTAATGCTATCGCAGAAGACGATGCTAACGTTTCTTTTTCTGCGGGATATATTCAGGGTTTTCTGCGATCGCAGGAGACGACAATGTTGTCTACACAACCGCAGGAGATGTCCTGGGTTTGGTTACAATCACGGTAGACGATGATGTTTTTATGACTAAGAAAAGTAGGCTATTCACGATCATGGAAAACGATGATGACACTTCGGTCCTCGTGAGATGACGTGCCAAACCCAAGCTTAGGAGAAATACCTGTGATAATGTTTTTAAGGAAATTGGGAGCGGTGGACAAACTTGAGAGGGCTCGTGGGTTATTATCGCCGCCTCTGAGGCTAGTGATCTAAAATCACAACAACTTTTTCATGCTAACTGCACTACTGGCTAATCCAAATAAGGTCTGGTCCTAATTAGTTTAGATGAGCGGGACTCTAATACGGGCTTCTTAAGTACTTACTTCTTTCTTAAGTATGTCCAATACTCATCAAAGACAAAATAAATAAAAATCAATATAAATTGAAATTTTGCTCTTCAACTAGGCCTATCAGAACTAAACTTGAAAGAATTAAGGAGAAAAAACAACCTAAAAAAAGTGTGAACAAACACGGGTCTAACATCTAAAGTGTGGACAAAAATATGCCTTTAGGCTAGGTTAAACTATAATTATGTCACAGCTACAAAAGTCCTTGAGGGGGAGTGAATGCTGCCTACAGGAGATTGACAAGAGGGCAAATAGAGTGATGTAATTACAATGAATTCAGTAGATGATTATGCTGACTGGGTGTGGATTGAACTACTCAACTTCTATCTGGTTGTGTTGCTCTACCCGGTTGTGTCACTTTATCCCCTGTAGGCTACTTGATTAAAAACTGTTGCAAAAGTTATATTAATTCTCATAGGTGTAAATGTATGTCTACCAGTTGAATAATTTGTAGTCTGTGAGTTTCTTTTTTTTATTTTATGAGGTTGGCTTTTACCTTGCATTTGCCTGTCCACATGGGCCACAGATAACTGTACGTAGAACATATCAGCAAAGCAAGGGATGAGCCAGTATAGTACAAGGGTGAACTGTACTAAAAAATGTTGTGGCAGGTACCAGGATTTAAACCCTTGACATAGCTGCCTTGGGCCCGAAGTCTGTGGCACTACAGACTGAGCCACCGACTCACCAACACAGGGCCGGTTCTGGGAATTTTTCAGAGTTAAGCGAACACCCGAATCAGCGCCACTTAGAATCCCCCCCACCACCCCACCTACAACCCATGAACATTACTTAACTCTATTTGTGAATTTTTTCCCAAAGATTTTGGGAAGAACTTTTTTATAAGTTTAGGTTAGAAGAATACTTGCAATAAAAGACTGTTTATTATTCCCAGGAATTTAACATTTTTACACTTTTACTCATCGTATAAACTTTAGCAAAACCAAGGCTACACTAAAAAAACAGGCCGTAATGCTCGTCAAGCATGACGTCACGATAGAAGACGGCAATGACGTAATGTTTGCCGTTTGTGATCAGCTGCTTGTTTAATCTTTCCTTGGAAAATAAATAAATAAATACCTACGTCATTGCCGTCTTCTATCAAAGACGTCATGCTTGACGAGCATCACGGCCTAAGTTAACAATTTATTTCTAAATGTGAAAACAATTTTTACGCCACACTACACTATTTTGACGAACTTCCCACACAAGGATTTAGTCCAGAAAACAGCTGTTTGCCGCCAGCTTAATCAAATGGGGTTTCATTGCGTACTACTGTATTGTAATGAGTTTTACTGGACACCAATCAGCTGATTACACTGAATTTGGGTGACAATGAGTGGTTATAAACATAAACATAACCTCTCTTAAAGGTTATGACTAGTGATTTTTAGTCCTTTAGTTGGTGGTAATATGTAAGGACTTGTACAGATTTGGTAGTATGGCGTAAACTATCGTACGTAACTTGTCCAAAATGTGTTAACCGGACTCGTATGGTAATCCCGTACTCGACCGTCTTGCACGGGAACGACCACACTCGTCTGGTAAACACTTATTTTCAGGACTAGTAACGTAATATACTATTACAGGATAACTTAGATACGATATAAGTTAAAGCATACTACAATGAAAAACAGGTGTAGATAGATGACAAGAGAGGAATTTTTAATTGAACACATTAAACATGAAGAAAACATGAAAAACCAAATTTATTACCTTGACAAAAAGAATACAAAATTATCAATTTGAACAGTTCAAAAGCTCAAAGCAGTTAAAAATTAATTTTCCTAGCTTTGATCTTGGCAAATTCTTTAATTGCAGAGTTGGTATCAATCTGGTTCAGAACATCAGAATGTGGTTCAGAACATGAGTCATGAAATGAAACCCACAGGCGCCGCGCTGTAGTACGCTGCCGACTGCCGAGCGTCAGTTCACTACAAATCGAAACTACAAATGGCATTAAGTCCTTGAGTTGTAGTGCTGTACAAATATACGCATTTTTCATATGCTGTTGGTACAAACAGAATAAATGCCTTATTGTGGTGCTTTGAATACTTGAACTCTGAGCAAAAATAAAAAAATTACGTTGTTCACTAAAAAAAAAATTGTTCCGTTAATTTTTCGTGGCGCCATATGCGGCCGCTTAGTTCGCGTATGGGTTAAACCGGCCCTGCACCAACATGTGAAGTTTGTATGATGACAAACTTCAAATTAATTGACCAGGACATTCTTAAGCCAAATGAATCCTCACTATGCTTAAGACATATCTAGATAAAGTGTGGGATACAGCAATGCACATAACTTATAAACAACTTTAAAAAATAAAATTTTCTTTATCAGTACTTACAGCTTTACTTGGATCAGCAAAGTCAATCCTCAGTTGTCCCATAGCCCTGATGATGGCCATAAGACTCTGAATGGTATTGCTGTATACAACAGGCCTGTATTGCTCACATTCTTCTTTCGAGTATCCTGTCTCATGTATGATTTTCATCTGTTTTACAATTGTGCTTTTTCCAGACTCTCCAGCCCCTGTGAACAAAATAGGCCTATGCTGGTAGTTTAAATAGTGGTTAAAGATATACCGTACTAAACGTACGTGTATATATCACTTACCATCATGGTACCGTGGGAATGTAGTACCTCTCATCATCATCAAATGGTCACACTACTTCAGTGAAGTGAACAGTTAGGTAGTAAATTTGTAGAATTTTTCATGTCCCCCATTTAAATCCCAGGACGTTGGGCTCTAGCTTGGAACAGTTTTGCATATTATTTCAGACTAGGCTTAAATTGAAACTGGCTCAGTTTTATTTAACTTAGTCAGTGACAGTAATAAGACCGTTCTGGTCAGCCTTTTACAGTTTTAACTAGTTTTATCACTTGTTACCCTATTTTAATTATTTGATAAACAAGATAAGTTTTGATTACCGTATTGTAAATTGTGACTGTATTTTAAAGAATCTTTTGACATACGGTACCACAATGTCAAAATATGGTACAGCAAAGCAACCTAAAAATTATACACTGATAATGTGTATAATTACACTGAGATGTTTACATGGGAGTTTACACTGATGATGTGGTTGCATATACTTAATGACCTGGCGAAGTTCTAAGGATTGGAACTAGTTATCATGCCAATAACTGTGATTGGATAATCCTTTTAAAGATTAATCCTTAGTCTGGTTAAGCTTAATCCTTCTAGGGCCCCTTTCCCCAAATCAAGTTTAACTCTGATCAGAACTGGGGTGGGTTTAAACTCTAGTTTAACCTCAGATTCACTTTCCCCAAAATAATTTCTCCGTTTGAACTAGGTTTAAGTTAACCCTCCGGGTGAGGCTGGTTTAACTGACGATAAATGGGTTAAACCAGGAGAGAAGAATAATAGCTTGATTTTGATTGGCTCTTGGCTGACTTGTTACGTTCGGCAGACGGCAATGGCAAATATCCTTGTTTGACGTTTGTTAAACATAACCTAAAATAAATTGAACAATTGAATTGAATTGGAAATAAATTAAGAAATAGCAAACCAGAACCTATGTAGACAATTAATTCATGACTATTTCAAATTTAAAGATATAAGGCTACAGATATACAGTACCGGTGATGGCTTTAAGGTTTTTAAATGCGTAGAGTCGCAGGCCTAAATTATTATATTTTCGGTAGGTAGTATCGTAGTTGTGTACAATCGATAGGCTACCTTGTCCACAGCAACGCAACAGTTGGAGAGTTTGCTCATAAGAAGCCTTTTGGTTTGATTTTATTTTAACACGAATTTTACATTACACAAAAGTAAATATTAGTTACCATTCGGGCCTAACCACTAGCCTATTATTATGTGTGAATTAAGAACTACTACTGTAGTAGGCCTAAAATTAAAATTTAGTTGAGAAACATCGATCGAACGTGTCTAATGCTGAGTAGCCTAGGCCTGCCATTACAAAGGATAGACTCTAGTTTTTAATCCACAAATATTAGGCTAATTTTGCGTCTTTCCCAACATTTTATTTTCCCATGATTGTAATTAATGCTTTTGTTTGATGCGTACAGTAGGCCTACTGTTTAGTTAAGTTTAAGCTTAAATAAACACAAGAAATGAAAAGCTTATCGGTATGAATTAGCATGAGAACAATTAATCAGCCTGCAAATAAAAATGTTTCTTTTTAATTTCAACAATTGGAGACAATAAGTCATAAGTCTTTATCTTGTTTGAAAACAATGACACAAAACTTAATATAAATAACCAAAACACGAGAAAATTAATGACAGATATGGATATGTCATAGTGGGGCCAACACCTCAAATAGGGCCCATCGAAGCTATCAATCAAATATTGACGATTCCCCAATCACCAGATTGTGGAGAAGACATCGAAGGTAAAGGTAAAGGGGAGTTAAACAGTTAATATTGCAGACAAAATTGCATAACAGTATTACCAACATTGTTGCTTGCAAAGAAAAGCTAGGTTAAACTAAGAAACTTTCATGATAAAATAGTGGGGAAAGCCATCCTAAGTTTAACCCACCGATTAAAGTTAACCGAGATTAAGTTAAACTTAATTTGGGGAAAGCGGCCCTTATTGTATCAATGAAGTAAACATTATAACCTAGCCTAGGCCTAAAACAAATTGTGCTTGGAGGACCAGTCACAATCCGTTGAACCACAATTCAGCCTAGTCTTCCTAAATAGACATGTTGGACCCTATAAGGGTACAGTTTCTTAACTGGGCTACGCTAATATGGATTGAAACTATCGAATTGAAATTATGATTAATAATCGATATTTAAAAATAGGCTATATCTATTATAAAATTAAACCATAAATACCTGACCTAACCAACCAAACTTGCTGATGGTGAAAAAATCGCATGAAGGTTTACTAATCGAATTGATAGTTTCAATCGGTATTAGCGTAGCCCAGTTAAGAAACTGTACCCCTATAATAACATAACATAGGTAGGTAGTTTGTACACTTTAAAACCAATAGCCTAGTCTAGGCCTAATTGCATTTACTAGCTAGGCTAATAGTTCGCTGAACTCATTTCCAGCCTATGTTAGTTTGTTGACCTGTGAAGCTAAACAGTTTATCGAAATATAAGGCTTAAGTTTAATTTATTTCAGCTTGATTAGTGAACTTATCACAGAGCAACTGATCAACAGACTAAGTAGGCCTAGGCTACACTAACCTAATAGCAGGAGCTTCACTTCTCGGGCCGCCCTTTCTCCATCCGCACGTAAATCTTTGTCGATTTTCTTTGATCGCTCAGAAGCTTCTTTTTCGCCAGAGGAACTTATAGCACAACCCATTTTAGTCAACGGTGTAAAGAAATTTTTTCAACCAAATAACATTGTGATTTGTAGAACCTACTACAATACGAACTTAACTAACTCTAGCCCTAGCCTACACTACAGTAGGTAAAACACAACACATCCATCAACTAGCAAAGCAACTCTAACTACTAACAGCCCTGTCCCTGTTTCCCTGTCCTGTCCCTCGTCCCTGTCGTCCTGTCTGTCGCTGTCGTTCTCTCGTTCTTCGAGCCAGGCAAAAGGCAAAGTAGAGAGAGAGAGAGGGCAACTTAGCAGCTATCATTCATCATTTATCATTTATTCATTCAACGGTAACACCATTTTTACATTAGAATATACATTAAATAGGATTAAATCACTTAATAACATAGCATAATTAGGTAATAAATATGAGCAATAATAATGAGAATAAATTAAAAAGCAGACATGACATGCAAAATACATAACCAGTATAAAAGAAAGCAAAAATACATTCATAGGCTGAAACATTTCTAGTATAAGGCATACAAAGACATAGCAAATTTGGTACAGGCTACTAAAATACGTGCAATTAATAAGAATGAAAATGAGATGCAGGCATAAGATGCAAAAGACATAATAATATGGCGCAAAAGATAACAACAATAGGTAAAATATGAAGTGCAAAAACATAACAACAACAATATTTAACAATATGCAACCGAGACATAACAACAACGAGAAAAAAGGAAACAACAAGTGCAATACCGGTAGACTAACAAAAGAAAAAGTAAGATACAACAACAACAACAACAACAACAACAACAACAACAATAAAAATAAATAAATATATATATATACAAAACAACAGCCATAAATTATTTAACAAACGCAAACACAACAAGAAACTTATTTAATAGACAAACAGGAAGCTCCAACTGGACACAAATGTGGCCCTTTAAAGGCACCACCAAAGAAATAACTGAAACTTTACTGAAGCCCTTAGGCAGCCACTAGGTTAAAAAGGCACTGGCACATCTTTTAAAAACAGGAGCTGAAGTGCTGAAGAAGTCCACATGAGCAGCCGCCACAGCGCCCTGACGCAGTAACCGAGACAAGCCGCTGTTGTACGCATATGATGTGGGATGGAATCTGCGCTGGAAAATTGCTCTGGAGCGATTACCTCTCGGAACAATAAGGTCAATGTTGAAGAGCAGGTCGGGGCTGTCCAGAAGACCATTAACCAGCTTGTACAGTACCACAAGATCAGCCAGTCTACGTCGTATGTGAAGAGGTTGGATACCAAAGATCCTCTGAAGTTCTTCAATTGGTACATCGGTATAAGCATAACCAATCCGGATACCCAACATCCGAATGAAGCGAGCTTGGATTCGAGACAGCAAATCAATGTGACCCAGCTGATGAGGCGACCATATCACAGAGCCATACTCCAGTATAGGACGGACCAAGGTCTTGTACAGCAACACAAGTGACCGAGGATCTTGGAAGTTCCTAGTAGACCTGAAGACAAACCCCAGAAGTGCATGCGCCCTTGATGTGATGTGGACAATGTGGTCAAAGGGGCTGAGTGAAGGTGTCAAGAATATTCCAAGGTCCTTTACTTTATCCATAGATGGAAGAGTGCTCCCATTGATGTGGTATTCCGACTTGAGAATGTTCAGTCCTCTCTTGAAAGTCATGACCTGGCACTTAGATACATTTAAGTCCATGGAGTTGTTTTTGCACCACCCAACGACATTACCTATGGATCTCTGAAGGTTTTCTTGATCAGACACGGAGTGGATTTCCGAGAAAATCTTTATGTCGTCAGCAAACATGAGGTAGTTGGTGGTCAAGACCGTTCCAATATCGTTGATGAACAGATCAAAAAGTAGGGGTCCGATGTGAGAACCTTGGGGGACACCAGAGATTACAGGGAATGGTCTAGAAGTAGCTCCTTCACACTTAACGATGAGATATCTCTCCTTCAAATAGCTCTCCACCCACCTGAGCAACGAACCACCAACACCATAGGCAGCGAGTTTTGCTACCAGAAGGCGATGTTGAACTCTGTCAAAAGCCTTAGAAAAGTCCAAGTACACGCAGTCGACCTGACTAGATCTACCGAAGGCTGACATTACAAATTCTTGGAAACACAGGAGATTAGTGATGGTTGATTTTCCATCAAGAAAACCATGCTGCTCAGGTGCAATGTACTTCTTGAGGTTAAAATATAAATGTTCCAGGACAATACTTTCAAAAACCTTAGCAATCGTCGGTTGAATCACAATAGGTCTATAGTTTTTAGCATTACACCTACTGCCAGATTTGAAAATGGGCACAACATAGCTAAGCTTTAAGAATGATGGGAAAATGCCCTCTTTAATTAACGCATTGAAAAGCACAGCCAGGTGAGGAACAAGTACAGGGGCACAGAACTTTAGTACAAGTGGAGGGATATTATCCGGACCTGCACTCTTATTGTGGTCAAGAGCATTCAACTTCTCTTCAACAACAGTAGCCGAGATTGAGCAATGGGAGACGGTGTCGTTTAATCCAAAATCAAATGCAGGAACAGGAAAGTCAGCACTGCAAAATACAGATGAAAAATGTTTCGCAAAAAGTTCACATTTGTCAACACAATCAGTCGCCACCATAGAGTCAAGTTTAAGACTTGGAGGAACAGTAGACGTTTGCCTGAGATTCTCAATATGCGACCAGAATGACTTTATATTGGATGGAAACGTCTCCTCAATGTTGGCTATGTACGCATCGTAGCACACACGAGTCATCTCCTTGCATCTAGTTCTAAGTCTTGTGAAGTTGACGAAATCCACGTGGTCTCCCGACGCCTTAAATGATTTGTGGGCCATCTTCTTCTCTATAATCAGTCGTTTTAAATCACTTGAGAACCATTTAGGAAAGTTGGAATTCCTTATCATCTTAAGGGGAGTATTAGCTTCAATTAAGAGCTTTAGGTTCTCACAGAAGGAGCTGAAAACATCATTAATATTATGCAGGTCACTTGCCTGTGGAATGGTGAGATCTTGTAGTTGGTGAAAAATTGCATCAAGGTTACATCTTCTAAAGTTAAGAACATATTTTGGTTCAGGAAGCAGAGGTTTCTTGTTAATGGGAAGCATAACTGTGAGGGCTGGATGATGCCTGTCTTCAGCCAGCAGGATGTCATCAGCTGCAGTAACAATGGATTCTTGGAAGGATGAGAAAATGAGGTCGAGACAGACGCCACGGGCTACAACTAACTGCTCTGCTCTGCGCTTCACTGTTTGTTTAATTACCTTAATTACCTTTAATTAATTACCAACAGGGTGCAGCACTATTATTTCTTTTACATTTATGATATTGACAACAGCTAATTTGCAACCAAAAGGTGAGTGAGCATAGCGAACGAACTTCAACCTGGAGGCGAGTTAGCGTAGCGAACCACCTAACCTGAAGGCAAGTGAGCGCAGCGAACGAGCTCCAACCTAAAAGTGAGTGTGCGTAGCGAACGAACTTCAACCAGGACGTGATATTGAGCCATGCGAACGAGCTCACTTATAAAGTTAAACGGGGCAAAGCCCGCGGATACAACTAGTTAACTATATTTATACATACTTGATGTCTTCATCTTTGTCCGACATTATCGGATAGATTGCGTCAATTAATTACTATATACAAATTTATACAAAACCAATATTTACAACACTACAAAAACATTGTGAAATGGTGGTTTGGATTAGTTCTTGTTTGAATATTCCTCAGGGTGGAAAGGTCTTCAAGTCCGTTATATAGTTTTAGGAAGTGTGTTAAAAATCCTGATAGCATACCATGGGTAGCATTTCAGAGATCTGCTTAGACGACATCGGGGCATATCTAAGTCTACTGCATTCCGTGTCTCATAAGTATGCTGGTCTCTCCTTCTGTCAAAGTCTGTTTCCTTGTCCTTCAGGAGACCAAGGATGTTGTACACATACTGGCTGAGCACAGTAAGTACTTGCCGTTCTTCTAAAATCGGGCGACAGTGGTCTTAATATCCCGCAAATGTAATCACCCGAAGATCCATATTTTGCAATAGTAAAACCTGATGCGCAGCTGGACAGTGACCCCACAGGACTAAGCCATATGTTATATGACTGTGAAAGAGGGAGTGGTAAACATTCATCAAATAAGGCAGAGTGATTTCTGATCTCAGTTTTATCAGAATATAGATTATGCGGGAAAGTTTCACACATATACCTTTTCTATATAGGAAATCCAGTTACATTTGGAGTCCATCCAAAAGCCGATGAGTATAGTTTTACTGGGTCCTCCTTCTTCAGTTTTTAGGCTACAAATCAGAGATTGGGGTTTATCCTCATTGATTTTAAGCTGATTAGCGTAAAACCAATCCTTGGCCTGGGATAGCAGGTATTCGGCCTCAAGTCATATTATAGAGCGTACTTTATCAATGGTGGTATCCGTGGCTTTTCAGCTCTTTAATAGTTGCGATAGTGGAATTTAACTCAACACGTCCGCCTTTATTTAAAGAGCTTATATTAGGACTGATGATGGCAATTTAACTTTGCCGAAATGTATCTCCTGTAATGGGATACAGCACATTATTAGGATCGATCGGCGGACACAGGCAATTTAACCTTTTATTGAATGTCATACCGATCCGGAACAACAAAAAATGAAGTTTATTTAAAGGTTTAATTAATTTAATTTTAACCGCCAGCCGCGGCCAGCGATATTTGGCAACGTCACACCAAGCATCTACTACCGGACGTTTCACCATTACGGTAGTACGAAACTAGTGGTCGCGGTTTAAATATAGTACTGAATTTTTACACCCGTACATAAAATTTTGAAATTTGGTACAGAGCTAGCGAATAAACCCTTTATACCAGTGTACCCCCCACATGTTTGGTGTATGTTAAACGCCTCTCTACTCTATTGAAGATTTTTTTGAAGAGTGGAACAGGTAAAAAAGCTATAAATCCTTAGAGTTGGAGATTGTGGTAGTTTTCGTATACCAGTAGTGAGCATGCCAGGATGTAATGGCTGTAAACTGTGAGAATTCCCAATCTTGCGAAGATGGGTTTACAGTGGGCAATGTGGTCACTAAAAGTAATATGAGTCTTACAGCACGTTTCTGCAGCACTAAAATGTCCCC